GTGTGTGTGTGTGTGTGTGTGTGTGTGTGTGTGTGTGTGTGTGTCCTCACATACCTACTGGTTCTTTCACCTGGTCACTGTGATATCTGTAAGTCGCACCACCCAGTCAAACTCTGTCAAATGCTTGTGCTGTCCAGTGTGTCAGGGTACATTCACACTGCAAGTCTTATCACCTCTATTCTGCTCTGTTCCGGATTTGGATTCCGATCACTGGATTCTACAGATTGGCTTGGTGGTCTCCTGGTGTTCTACAAAACAACATCGGTGGCTGTTCTGTTCATTTCCTGGCTGCCTGACCAATATGAAGGATTACTGTTCTTTCAGCACTCAGACGTTTGCTTTGTGCGAGCTGGACTCGGTCTGCAAGCAGTTCTGCTGAGGGTCGCGGGCCGGCTGTGGTCCCTGGACTTTGCTGGAGAGATGGAAGTGATCTGGAGAAACTGATAGCTTGACTCAGCGGGATTGTCCACATTATTTGCCTGATTGGATTCGCCACCTTGAGATGTACCAGTGGACATTAAGGCAGATGGAAAAATGTTATTGTCTACCTGACCAAAAACATTTCCTTCTGTTCCCAAACAACTGATTACAGATTAGGTTCCATACAATGACATTAAATGCATCAATCAATCAATCAATCAATCAATCAATCAATCAATCAATCAATCAATCAATCAATCAATTTAAATTTTGGCTCCATTTTTTTGTGTGAACATATACTGTATTTTAAATGCAACCTCCATCAGTGTGAACTCCACACAGCACTGATGCATGCCCAGAAAATTACATGATGTCACATTCAGAACACTGTTTTCAAAAGTAAATTAGGATGTTACATATTAGCATGTCGATTGYGAAGTTGTGCAATCAGGGCAGATTAAATAACTATCTGACATGTTTGTTTAGTTCACTSTTGACATTTGACCCTGCTTCTGTCTGGCTGCTCCGGTGCAGCTTTTTATTTTTGGAACGGGAGCAACGTGCTGCAAGTAAAACTAACTGAAGTATCAATCCAGTAACTTTAGWATTGAAACGGTCTGAGACTGGCGTTAKTATMWTTTATTTCTGTGGATTCTCAGTCATCCAGGACAAGGAAAATAACAAAAACAAATTAAATGGACTTACAGTATGTTCTGTAGCTGAAGACGTGTGGAGCTACAGGATTTAAACGATACAAGGTTGGTATCAATATTCAAAATACTTGGATCGATCTGCTAACTGCCACCTCAGTGATGTAAAAGTCGAATGAAATGTGACATGCTTGTCCAGACTGGGGTTGTGTTGACAAACATCAGATGTGTTTCTGATTTAGTAACACATGCTGAAAACGACTGGATCAGATTTGAAAAAAAAATGGATTTGTCACATTTAGACTGCATTAAAAAATGAATGAATGAATGAATTTATTTGTTTGGGACAGTGTGATATTAAAACATAATTTGATACACTGCACCAGATTTAGCCTAAGGCTAATTTACACCTGTAGTCCCAACTTGGATTTGAGTCACATTAAACTGCTGTGGAAACAAAGTCTTTGAGTGTCTTTGAGTGTTTGGCGGCACGACGGCTCAGTGGTTAGCACTGACACCTCACAGCAAGAAGGTCCTGGGTTCAATCCCCGGTTCGGACCTGGGGTCTTTCTGTGCGGAGTTTGCATGTTCTCCTCGTGCTTGCGTGGGTTTTCTCCGGGTACTCCGGTTTCCCCCACAACACAAAAACATGTACAATAGGTTGCCTTCAGGCCCAGGCCGCCCTTGAAAAAGAGATCTGAGATCTCAATGGGATTTGCCTGGTAAAATAACGGTAAAATAAAAAAAAATACCCTCCAGCAACTACCTGATAACACTAAAACTAAGGTTATTGAAGAGACACCCTCGTTGTAAATACACCCATCACTAGTTTATATTTGTACCAAATTATAGTTAAATTGGTTCAATCATACTGAGGGCTTCACTTTCATTGTTTAGAGAGGGTAATACATTTTCAGGACACACACAATACACAAAAATAGCCAAAACATCAGTCCTAACAGATTTATAACAGTGCTTAGAGTACAGGCTTGTTCGACTTGACGTCTGACTGAGAAATGTGTTTTAAACCTCATTTAAAAATCCACAAATATACAAATATTTCACAAGATGTCCAGCATCAAAGATCTTGTATGTTCACGTTTAAACAGCAAAATGTTGTCAAGCTAAAACAGTTTTTTTCCTGACAGAATATGTTTTTTTTAGTAAATAATAGAAACATCAAAGTGAAAATACCAGGTGATGAGTGGGTTACACACTATTCAAAATTCATGTAACAAAAATGTTTTAATCATTTGACAAACTGTATTCTACTAATAAAACTTTTAGAGAATTGGAAAAAAAATCTTACACACGGACATTTCTTACGTCTGAGGGTTATAACGTAAATAAATGGGACAGAAAAGAAGGCAAATTTTTTTTCCACTTCTTTCCTAGTCCACTTGTTTAAACTACCATAACTTTAGAGGAATTACATTTTTATTTTCAAATTTTCAAAGCTAGAACCCTAAAGACTTTGGTTACCACTTTTTAATCAAACTGTATAGAGGCCACCTCTGATCTTTGTGAATCTTTTTCACACTTTTTCTTAATCTCTCCTTCTGCTTGTGAGTCCTTTGTATGTGTCCCTGTCCTCCTTCGCAGGGTTAAACCTGAGATTTTGTCTTTTCTTCAAGAAATCTTTGGACATCTGTGACCATCAAGTTCTCCAAATGAGACAAACAAATATTCCATCACTTTGTTACTTTAGTGTCTTGATGATGTATAACATTTGGAGCTTTATTGAAAACATGGGTCCTGTAGATTTAGGTTCCAGTAAAGCAAACTGACTGTGAATAATTTAGGGTTGAACTTAAACTTCAACTAGACAATTAGATCAGGACAGGAGGTTTTATTATTTTAAGGCAGCTGGCCAAAGTAAAATCCATCATTAAGACAGCACTTTGTGACTGTAATCCACGCCTTTGTCACGACCTGACTGGATTACTGTAAGACACTTTATGTGGTTTGTGGGACCTCCACTGGCCAGCTGCAGAGGGTCTAAAATGCTACGTGACTTTTAAGTGGCACACATGAACGCTTCACTCTGTTGGCCGCTCATGTATTTTAAGATTCACCCATCAAGCCATCCGTCATCTTCACATGCTTCTTCCTTTCAGGGTCACGGAGGTCACCGGTGCCCATGTCCAGCAGTCACTGTGTTAGGGGTGGGGGACACCCTGGACAGGTCGCAAGTCCATCACAGGACCACGTAGAGACAAACAAGACAGTCACTCACACCTTGGGACAATTTAGAGTTACCCATTAACSGAACAGTCATGTTTTTGGTCTGTGGGAGGAAGCTGGAGAAAACCCACACATGCACGGAGAGAACATGCACACTCAGGTTTGAAGCCAGGATTTAATCAGGCAAATTTTTAGTTGAGAGGCAATAGAAATGAAAAAAAGTTTTTAAATCTTTGTATGGCCGTGCCCCGCCCCTCCTCACTCCGATCAGCTGGTGTCACCAAAGTGAAGCCCAAACTCAGGGTGTGTGTGTGTGTGTGTGTGTGTGTGTGTGTACTTTTGCCTCTATCTGAAACAAGCTGCCTCTTCACTTTCTGTTTTTTTTTTATTCTTAAAGCACCCCTTTCCCCCCTTTTTTTAATGTACATGCTGTAATTGTTTTGGTTCTTTATGCTTATTGTCTGCTGTGTACAGCATTGTGATCTGGCTGTTTAAAGCGCTGAACAGTCAGATTGGATTTTTACCCTAAAAGTAAGATTGTTAAATATATTTAGCAGAGTTAAAAGAATGTTTTCTCTTTATAAAGTCAAGGAAGCAGAAAAGAAATAGGTTTGCATCATTTTTTTCTGCAGTTACAGGTTTTGGTGATAACTGGCTGAGGGTGAGAACGGCTACAGTTGTTTGATAAGATTCTGTATGAAAATGTAGTAATTTAAACTTTTTTGAAGTTTTAAGGCATTTGTAGTAATTTAAACTTTTTTGAAGTTTTAAGGCATTCCAAAAAAATTCTGATTCACAAAAGACAAAAAAACAGCTATTGAGCTTGTGTTTGACACAACAGAGGTAGAGATGACTAAAGAACTGTCGTAGAGATATTGACATTTTGTCACTTMTCAGGTGTTGTAATACAAGTCCACCTACAAAGCAAATACACATTGATATGGATGGTCAACAACAGGTTCATGTTTTCCTGACAGGCGGCATAAAGAATTGTTTGCCTGGATGGTTCTGCTGATAACGTAGAGCTGCTGAGACCTGTTGGAGCGAGTCACCATCAGGGCCAGCTTTACAGACGTGGCACTAATGAGCCTTTAGTTAATGACGACCAGGATTAATCAGTTCCACTGATTCAGAGGCAGAGAAGCCTCGGAAACACATTTATGATTCCAGCACCAAAACACACACACACACACACACACACAAACGTTTCACTGCTGTAAACTCCCCTGCATTCCAAACCCACACACAGTTGTAAACATGTAAATACACGCACATCCTGGCAACATGCCTGGAGCAACATCCTTATTGAGGAATTGGTTTTGAAAGTGAGCTCTATCTCATATTTCACTGGTATTTACACGGTAAACAAAACTATCTGCAAAGCAAACTTTTCCAATGAATTTGTTTATCCACATGGTTTTAGCAATTCTGACAGAAAGGTTTAGAAACACGTGCATGAAGGTAAATACAATCAAACATTAAAAAATATATTTTAAAACTTTGTTAAAAGAGAATCACAAACATTCCAGGTGTTTTTTTTTTTATTCCACTAAACATCCAGTACAACTCATTTTAAACAGTGGTGAAGAGAGACAGAAATTTACCTTAAAAGCTCCTTAAGTGATGAATTAAAGTTCGGGCAGGACAACAAAAATACAACCTGGTTAAAGGTTTGTGACAAACATGTCAGATGTTAAGTTTATCACAGATATGTTGTCTCATCACAGGGCTAATGTGGTCCTCTGGGTTCCAGCTTCATCAGTATTCTCACAATGAAACAAGTATCATCCAGGCTCCTGAAACACATTAATCTTGTACCTAATGCTGATATTACCCTCATTCATCAAAAAGCTGTGGGGAAGTCAGCACCGAAACACTGATAAACATTTTCTTACAGTTGGCCAGGATTTATGCCGTGCTGCTGATGTGAAGCAACAAAAACTTGTCATATTTAGAGCCTTCGCTTAAAGCTGCACCAAACCACAAGTGAAAACCTGATGCACACACCCTTGATCGTCTGCAAACTCATCTTTACTCATGACTCTTCAGTTTTACTCTGTTCAGTTATCAGTGCCGTACTGAGTGATCAGTTTCAAAATTTAATTTCCTTCAAAACATTTGAGCTGAGAAAATGATTAACCTTTTCTGCCACCTAGTGGCGAGTCACGATAACTTCACCTCGCAGTTTAAAAGGAAATGTTGTTGTCTTGGTGTTTTATGAGCTAAAACACGCAGCTTGTTGTCTTGTCAGAGCTGCATGGAGACAGGCGRTGCTGGAGACTGCAGCTCCTGGTCCAGCAGCCGGAAGTGCATAGCGCTCTTGTTGCTCTGCTGGGTTTGTCCCAGGGAGCGGTGGAGCTGAGCCTGCAGGTAGTGGACGTCCCGCAGCCGCTCCTTACAGTTCAGCTTGGTAAAATAGACTGCAGCCTCATTCAGTGCGTCCACAGCCAAAACTGCCAACTGCAGATCTGCCAGGACACAAAGAAGCAGGGGTAGATGCCTCACATGAAGGGAGAAGGACTCTGTTATGCAGTGGGACTATGTGGGGGAGAAATAATACCTGGTTGACCTTGTCCGTTTGGCCCAAACCCAGCCACAGCCATCTGACAGCGAGCAGCCAGCAGCATGGCACGACCTTTGTCTATGATGGCCCCGTGGGCCAGAACTGGCTCCATGGCTTCATGAAGAACACTCAGGGCCCGCTCAGGGACTCCCAGCATCAGCTGGAGAAAGAATTTAAAAACAGAAACCAGAACAGTAAATAAATTATTTCTAATAGCCATGGGTTCAAAACAAGATAAAAGCATATGCTCACAAATTACTTCAGAAATTGTAGCTGTGAATTCAGGTTTGTGAAATAAATCTGAGCTGAAGAAACCCAAACAGAGCTTAAATTACCATTTCACAAGAAACGAGGAAAACTGAAACGTATACTGTAAATAAATGAGATACGCATCTTTTTTCTTCAAAGAAAACAGCTTGATTTAAAACCAGAGTTGTAAAGTAACTAAGTACAAATACTTTGTTACTGTACTTAAGTAGAAATTTAGGTTATCTGTACTTTACTTGAGTAATTATTTTTCTGCCTAATTTTTTACTTCAACTCCTTACATTTTTACAGTTATCTGTACTTTCTACTCCTTATATATATTTTTAAAAGGTAAGAAGTAGAAAGTCATTTCTCCTATTTTGTTTCAGCTTGTAATTGTTAAAAAATACTTTCCTAAAAATTGTGCCTCCAGGATTGAGTGAATTTAATTGTAGTTGGATGAGAAATATAAATGTATACCATTCTGATACTGTAGTAAATTTTACACAGTCCGTCACAGCTGCATGTTTTTAGAAAAATATTTTTTTGGGGAGGTCACCTCCCAATGGGCCTCATGCAAGAACATGTTCGTATTCTTATCCTAAATTTCTCTTACTTTTGTTCGTACAAAGGGTTCGTA